TTTCATCCTTCTGGTAATAAAGATAATGGTATGGGTGCACATTGGTTGCTGTGGCATTTGGAAGTAGCCGTATAGCATGGTAGTGATCACATGGTGGAGGCAAACACCCTGTGGCTCAGAAAAGACGTCAGTAAATTCTTGAAAAATATTGTCTACCTTCAGTATCTCAGGAGTGCCCATTTCTAATGATTCTTGAGTAAGAAGCATGCCTTGAAGATGCACAAAAGTGTTGCTGCAATTTATATTTTTTTCTATTCAGCTAGAAGATCATGAACATTTTGTTCTAGTTGGCTTGCATAGTGTTCGAAGATGCCAACCTTTTAATACCTAATACCAAATCAGAACCTCCTAAGGAAAAAGGGTAGAAGTCTTGCTGAATAATTAAACTAGAAAATTTTACCTAAACTTTTGCACAAACCTGATGGCATTTCACCTTGCTTCCATTAGCAATCTGAACTCCAAAAGTTTGGAATAGTATGAACAAGTAGTTGCAATTTGGATACCACTGTTTCAGAGATGAAATTGTGCGTTGAGCCGCTGTCAACTAAAATAAGAATAGGACGGCCTTTGAGAGTGCCCTGTAGCTTCATCGTGGTTGTGGAATGCTGACCTAGTATTGCATTAAATGAAATTTTGGCATTTGCTGGCTCCATCTCTTCCTTGGCCTCCTCATTTAATGGAGGCAGTACTTCATCCTCCTTAGCAATTTCTAGTAGAGAAAAAGAAGCATTGGATCGATGCCCAAGTTGAAAGAGAGCCCCACACCTGAAATAGAGGCCCTTTTCTTTCTGGTTTTGACATTCTACATCTTGTGGAGAGATTTTCACCTGCATTGAGGGATTTTTGGGGATGATCGAGGCCAAAGAAGTGGATTTGATGGGATATGCTGAAGCTTTCAACGAGCTTGAGTCTTTGGAGTCTTAAAAATTACTTGGGTCACATGCTGGTTGGGACAGATTTGGGCGGCTTTGAATGTATGAAGAGTTTGGCCTAGGTCTATGTGAAATCTGGGCCTTCTCAAATTCCAGGGCCAAATTTGCAGCCTTATACATTGTTTTAAGTTTTTGAATAGGCACATCAGCCTTTAGTTCTTCCTTGAGGCCGTTAAGAAAAACTCCCAATAAACATTACTATGGGTACTTTGAGACTTGTGCGACTCTCTTCGCGAATTCTTGGCAGTATTCTTGCACTGACCCAGCTGTTTGATGCCACTGAGATGTTCATTTGGGTTCAAATATTCTGGAGATACATAGTGCTCCTATAATGCCTTAACAAGCTCTTCGTAACACATCACTGTACGCTCAGAATTTATCCAGGAGAATAAATCCAAGGCATCACCCTCTAGGTACATGTAAGCTACATCTACTTTGAAATCTTTTGGAGTATGATAATAGCGGAAATATTTTTCTGCTTTCAGAGTCCACCCACGCAGATCGCCATTACTGAATTTTGGGAATTCATTTTTTGTGTGTGGTGGCTATAGGTTCCTTCTATTGTAAGCACCGGTAGTGTCCATCCATTTGTCTCCTACCCTTACTGGTTGCAGAAGCCTCAAGTGCTTCTACCTTAATGTTTCTAATTTGGAAGCAATGATGGCCAACGGATTTGTTGCAAATGGCTTTAGAGTCGATTCATTACGATTCATTACGTGTGTTGTTGGAGGGAGTTGGCAAGCGGATTTGTGGTTTCATTTCCAGAGTGTGTGGTCACCATGTAGATCGAAGCAGCTTGGATGCTAAATTGTTAGTACCCAAATTAAGTCTGGTAAGCAATAGCTAAGCAAGGATCTCACTCACACTATCTCTCAACAGTCAATAATAGGAAAATCTTTAATTGAATGAAATAAATTTTGAATAATTCAAGATATCCCGCTTAGAAAGTAGCTAGGATATATATAGATGACTTACAACTGAATAAATCAAGGAAATGCCAAGAAAATCTCCAACAGTAAATAACTACTGGCACCATAGGATCCATAACACTGTAAGGGTCCTATTTTCTCTCAATGTGCTTCTAAATTAATTCAATTATTAACTGAAATAAATGATGAAAAATAATACACCGGAAATTAATTTATCAATGTAGATGGATTTAATTTTAATGATTTATATTTGAAATATATTTAAATTAAATTATGATCATATTTTATATTTTAATTATTTAATAATATATTTTTAATAACTATTTATTAATGGAGATAAAATCTTATGAGATTGCAATTTGAGTTTACGTTCTTATCATGAGTTTACTTACACTTGCGAATTTAACAACCTTGTTTCAAGCCTTAGAGATTTCTTCAGCAAGCATAATTTGTCACTTTTGCCTCTATCAAACCCTGAAAGTAGAGTTATGTAGACTTTCAATTCTCCATTTAGAAAAACATTCTTGATATTTAGTTGAAGAAGAGGCTATTCAAGGTTGGCTATTCAAACTTCTGTTACTAGCGCAAACATTTCTTTGTAGTTTATTGTTTGGGTGAAACCCCTTACTACTAACTGTACTTTAAATTTGTCAAGTGTGCTATCAGCCTTATACTTTGGGGTAAAGACGTATTGCAACTAACTAGTTTCTTACCTCCAAGTATTTCAACAATCTCCCATGTTCCATGTTTCTCCAAAGCTCTTATTTCCTCCATAACTGCATTTTTCCATTCTGATATTCCCAGTGCCTCTTGGATGTTGTTAGGAATAATAATTTATTCAAACTAGTAATGAAGGGCCAATAATTAGGAGAGAGAGCCTTGCAAGACACATGCTTTTGAATCAAATGTAAAGTACAAGATCGAGGTTGTTTCTAGGGAACAATGGGTAGATCAAGATTAGCAGATTCACTAGATGGATCAGTTCTTGGTACTTTAGCTTCAAAAGATTGGTTAAAGTACTCATTACCATTGTTGTTGTGTAAGACTTGGTTGCTAATATTGAATTGGTTTTTGATCATGGTGAAAAAACTCATGAATGTGGATGAAGCCTTTGACTTGTTTTTGAAAAGATAAACCTATCAAACATGAGTATGGTCATCAATGAAGGAAATTAACCATTTTGTTTGAGTATGGTTTGGAGTGTGAGATGGTCCCCAGAAGTTAATATAAATGGTTGTGAAAGGTTTAGTGGGTGTGTATTTGACTCTAGGAAAGGAAGTTCAATGGTTTTTGGCAAGTTCACTTAACTTACTGGATTTCACTATGATTCAAGTTCAGGCATAAGATTGGAAATAATCATTGAAGGTGATGAAAATTAGGATGACCTATCTTGACTATTTGACTATGAAGGTGTCAATCCTACTTTGACGACGACAACAGTTGAGATAGTCAAGTAGCTGAGCTTGATCACTTTTTGCCTCTAAACCAACGAAATTCCCCTTTCCGAAATCATTGCTTCTTCCAAATTACAAGAACTCTTTGCAATGTTCATGGTTCATGACTCATATCCTTGTCAAGCATAAACATTTTAGAACTGCACAAGAGATGCCTGAGAAAATTGGCCACAGGGATTTTCTGTCATTGCCATCAGTTTTGAGAACTTTGATTGAAATTCAACATGGCCAAAAAGTGAATTCGCATATATTGAGCTGGCTTGTAATACATTATACAAAATCAAAGATGACTGATAATGCCACAGTTTTTTGAGCAGATGAAGCTATATAAATTGAAACCTCATTTGCATGCCATGTGCTCAGAAGTTATTTAATCTTATTGAAGGGAGGGGTATGGTAGGTGATTGTGTTATTCATAGAAGTCTTGCTTATACGTAATGGAAATCAGGGAATGCAAAGGTTGTATCAAATATACTTGAAGAGATGACTAGGAGGAGGTTGATGATAACAGGCAAAATATAATAAATGTTTCGGTAATCCTCTTGATAGTGAAAACAAAACTTCATGTTCATTCTGGAATTATGTGGTGGATAGGGGCCTTATGTCAAGAAATACTATGAATAAAGTAAAGAAGATGGAATTATGATTATTAACCATTGTTCACTAGAATTTTCAGTTTTATTTTGAAGCTTTTGGAGTGGAAAAAGAATTACTGGCCATGATTGCATTTATAGCCTTCTTTCTGTATCTTTTCTTCATAATATACTAGAGGATAGCAGCAATTGGCTTTGAACAGAGTCTGATCATTTATTAACTAAAGTCTGAGGAAATATATTTATATGCTAATGGATTAAACTTACTATGTCCTTTTGACATTAACTCACTAGGCATAACTTCTTTTCTCTGTAACTTGGGATTCATAGCTAGCAGGTTTCTTAAAATTCTTAGACTCTAGATAGATCAAGAATATAAGTTATAGTTTGATGCTTCCTTGTGTTTTGGCCACTGAATATTGTTTTCTGCTCTTTCATTAATTTGCATAAAAATCCATATATTCGCTTGCTATAGTGTTGAACTACTGAAAATTCTTATATTTGTTGATTGTTGATTCCCATCACCTTCAAATTAACCACATTTCTATAAGAGACATGTGCATTAGCATTCTCTGTTGTGGTGCTGAATTAATGAAAGTAGTTAATATTTGTTGATTCTTTTGGCATTAACTAACCTTATTGCTCAGACCAAAAATGGAAGAGATTTCATGTAATTGGCTATGAGTAGAATATGTAGCCAAAACTGGAAGTATTTTGATGCATATTTGAACCTCATCCCCAAGACGTGAGGAAGAAAATTTGATTTCTTTTTAAATAACATAGAAAGTCTGGTTATTTGTCCATCAAAATGGGATTGTATGAAAATCAGTCTTCTGTCAATTTACATTGCCTCGGAGACCTATTTTGCTCTATCTACTACTTAGAGGAAAATGTCCTTGGCTGTATCTGTTTGTGTTCAATTTTAATTGGAAAACACTTCTAGCTGTTACATTTTTGCTCTGGTTTTATTTTGTGAATGGGTTTCTTCGTCCATGTCCTTCCTTTTGTTATTGATGAACTGGTCTTCCTCTTCCTCAACTCTTGATTTCATCAAATTTGGCTTGAGTTTGTTTACATCTGACTACTGAACAGGTTTCAGAAAAAATTCTCGAGCTCTTCCTCTAAGCATCTGATACAAAAACAAGGCCAGGTCAGATCCAAGATTCAGTCTGTTATAACCTCTGGGTTTGTAATTTTAATTTGAAATTTTTAGTTACTGTCTTGTCATGATATTTGATTTGGGTTACAATTTGCAGTTTCCCTCACCTGTTGATCCTTGATGGGACATTCTCTGAGGACATAATCTCCAATGGTAAGTTTTTGAGAGATTCAGATTCCTGCAAAATTAATTATCTTCTATTTTTATTTATCTAACCTTAAATAAAAATAATAGAATTTTGTAAGTTATGGTGTCTCTAATGTATAATTTTTGGATTCAAACGAACTTGTCTAGCATGGAGAAGGAAAAAACTCTCGACTTTTCATCCATCTATCCATCGATATATTTGTTTAATTTTATTTATAAATTACTTTTAACATATTTTGTTAAAATAAAAAAACATTAAAACTCATTAATTTTGTCTAAAAAATTATCATTGCTCTTATTAAATATTTTTTTAATAATATACTTTCTCTCACCTACATTTAATGGAGGGTAAAGAGGAAAATATGATAAAAACTTAAAATGAAAAAAAAAATCATGCCTCTCCATCTTATAAATAAAATTATCACACCTTGATACTAAAGGTATGAGCGACACGGAATGTGAGATAACCTTGTATTCTATAAGCTTTAATTAATTAGAAATTAAAGCTAAATTTTTGATAGATAGTTTTTTATATACATTTATAAAGTTTGTAAAGTCTTAAATATGTTGTAAAAATTTTGATAGAATTTTTCCTATAATTTGAACCTCACCAAGTTCCTGCAATAATGAAATCAGCCAATCACAAAAGAGACTAGCTTTACACTACTAGATTATATATCAGCAAAATAAAATTAGAATCTAACTTCAGTATATGTGAAGCACCAAATTATAATTTCATAATATAAAATATATTTACATCAAAGGTAACCACCACACACTTCCATGGTTCAAAAGCAATTGTGTCCCTCAATGATCAATAGGAGATGCAGGGTCAATTTTAATATTTGAGACCAAAAAAAATCTTTTTGGTGAGTAGCGTCTCAATTAATAGTTGAAATAAATAATGGAAAGCAATCAATTTATTAAAATAATCAATTGCAAATAATATAAATCAAGAATACAAAAATAGAAATGAAGTTTGTTAATGTTTCAAATTTTAAATTTTTAAATTTTTACACATGTTTTAACATCTTAGGATATATATATATATATATATATTACTCAATAATTTTATGTATAGTTAAAAAATAGCAGTTCGTTTTTTAAGATTAAATTTAAAGAAAATAGTTTCAATTTTTTTTTTTTTTTAATGAGGCTTGATTAGAATGATTAACAAGCGTGCAAATAGAGTTTGCGAGAGTAAGCAATATATCCAGCATGGCAAGAAGTCACAAAAGTAAGCGTTAGTATAAAGCTCACAAACAACAGGTATAGATTATATCCGTGAAACTATATCCTTCATTTCACGTGTGTTGGCTGGCACACAGGGCTAGCACCTCCAATGCACCTTGCTAGTTAGGTGTACCATGACGCGTCGAGGGCTAACGAAATTATTATTAGTATCTAGAATTATAAACTTAGTTTTCCTAATTAAATCAAGCGTGCATGAGGTTGAAATATTTATTGAAAACCATTCCTTTCAAAATATAATATTCAACTATCAAAATTTCTTTTCATTATTCTCTATGCACGAATCATCGTATTAACAACTGTCATATAAATTATAAAATTTAAATAAAAGAAATATTTAAAATAAATAATCAGTTAATAATGTACTGGATTTAAATATTTTTCAATAATAGCATAATTTTTAATAAAAATAAAAGAAATTTCATAATAAACTAATTAATATAAAAGTGAGGTAAGTAAAAGAATTGTATAAATCTTACAAATAAAATTAACAAGAATATTTATACAACTTATAAAAAAATGCTATAAAAATTTAAATAAAGAAATTTTATGTACACTTTGCAAACAATTATTTTTCTAAGAATTTTAAAGCTTGCTTCTCTTATCTTTTTACTTTAATTTTAATGATGTTTTTAATTTCCGGACAAATAAATCATAATCTTAAAATCATTATCAAGTAATTTTTCAGTCAAATTCAGGAATGAACATTTTATTTAAAACTAATCACTACATCATTATGTTCAATTATAATTTCTTAGAGCTTTGTCATCAATAATATGAACTTTGAACCCAAAATATAAATTTCTCATTTTCTATCAATAAACTCAAAATTAACTATGTCAATTAATCGATCTTACCATTCTTGTAAGCATTCAGACAAACCTCTTAGCAGCATTTTTATTTTCTCATCACATAATCAATTTGCATACATCCTAACCTCTTATCCTCACCATTTAATTCTTAAATCAAACTTTCATATACTATTTAAATATTATTAAAAAACACAAAATATTTCAAATTAAATCCCAGTCAATTATTTGAATCACCTTTGGCAGCGACTAACATCAGCACCCCTTAATAAGAAATTTTTAGCATGATATACTTATTCCTCAAAGCTTCTTCCTTGAATGCTTTAAACAACAAAGAAATTCAATTTCCCTCTTCACTAAACAATAACCAACAGAAATAGTAAAGCAGAACTTTAGTTCCCATCATCATCAGTCACGAAAGAACTATTTGGAAGGGGTAAAAATCACATACAGCAAAAGAGAAGGAATTAAGCTTCATCTAGCACATCTAGCAGTTGAGGAGGAAAGCAAATTGAAGACCAAACACATACACACACGAACCTAGAAGAACAGAGAGTGACAGAAGAAGAGAATCCAACGACTCCACCACTTCCAGTAGCTAATCGTGATAGTAAGGATAGCACGAGTCAACGGCGACGAAGAAAACCAACGACGGGGACTGGAGAGAGATGGGTTGACGGTGAAGTCTGGAGGAGTATATTGGCAGTGGAGAGAAAGAAGAGAGAAATAAAAAACAAAAATGGGATGCTCTGTTTTATGAAGTTTCGAGCAGAGGAGAATATAAATTTGATTTAAAAAGACAAGTGAGAAAATTACAAAAAAAAAAATTATCAAAAAGGCACAGAATTTTTTATAATTAAAAAAATAAATAAAACTTAACTTTTACTCAATAAAAGTTGAACTTTAAATTTTTACAAAATTTATTAACATAAGTTCCTATCAGTCACTGTTTTCCACTTATTATAAAACTAATTTAAATAAAATATTAATTTGTAAAAAAAATTAATATAATTTAATTTAAAATTTAAGATCATTGTATACACAGACGTGTACTTCTCTAACTTTATTTGTTAGTTTTTTCTAACACGTTTTACTAAAATTAAAAAAAAATTTAAAATTCATTGGTTTTGTCTGAAAATTTAGTAAATTTTCAACTATCATTGTCACCACCGCCAATATTACCGCTCAACTATCATTGTCACCACCGCCAATATTACCACTGCCACTACTGTTGGTTGGATGGATGGATGGATACTGTTGGTTGGATGGATGGATGAACACAGTACTACCGCTACCTCCTTAGTTATATATTTTGATTCCATTATTATATATCATTTATATCATTCCCCTTGAAATTAAAAACAATCATGATCAGTGACAATGTCAACGTGTGACGAATTATTTCGCATGCAAGTGTTGGTTATCGACACTCGTCTTTGTATTCTCAATATGGAAAAGAAACTTGTGCATATCATGTGCTAATTACAATGACGTCGAGTTATCTAGATAGTCGATTATATCTGATGGGATAGGGCTTGTTGTCTTGTATCTCTCTTCGTAATCTTTCTCTGCCTGGTACAAAATCAAGCCTCCAGAGGCATTAATTAATCCAGTCATTAGATTCTCATGCATCCTTTTGTTTTATCTTCCTCCTCTTCCTTGTTTCACACACTTCTCTCAATGGTCCAGGTTTTTTAATGGCTGCTTGATCTTACTGCAATAATGGAAGCCTTTTCAAGGACTTCGTGATATCTCTTTCCAGTAAGCTTCTATCTGGGTTCATATGTATGGGTTGCCAATACAATTTTATACTAAATACTATGCTTCTTTGATTGGCAACTCGTTAGGAACTTTTCTGTATTTGGATAGTAACGTTTGCTATAGCAGCTCTGGACTGTGTATACGTGTTTCCTTTAACATTCAAGAGCCATTAAAGTTGCAAGGAACACTTTGGTCTTTCTTCAGGCGAGGAGTTTGATTTCTCCATCTATTATGCAACTCCATCGCTTGTGTTTTAATTGTCATCGCATAGGACATGTTCATCAGAATTGCTCTCAGATTCTCTCGTTTTCATTCATTTCCTGTGCTAAAAGCTGGTTTCTTAAATATTTTCATGAAGAATCAGTACGTGTGATTTTTGATTGGTCCAAATTTTCCTATTAAGTTTCTGATTGGTGATCTCTTCTGTTTAAAGATTCAGCTTCTCCACTCACTTTTGGTTCAGATGATGCGTTCACACTTAATTCAGCACCCACTGGACAGACTTGGTGCTTGCGCGTACAATATGAAGACAAGTGAATTTCTCTGTACTTGGACAGATGTCCGTTGTTGAAAGCATTAATTGCCTCTCTCGATGGATGGTTCAGATGCCTCTGAACGACAGAGTTAAGCAAGTTTTTAATCTTCAAGTACAATCATCCGATCTACCATCTTCTTCTAACACAAGAGAGTTGTCTTCCTCAGGGCAGAATCAATTTAAGATATTAACAGCTTCTGTTTCATTTTCTTCCTTTTGCTACCACGTCTACAATTTGATGATGTCATTCCCTTCATCAGCACAAGGCACCCAAATTTCGACAACCACACATCATATAGCTTCCGTCTCCTGCCTCAGTTCTTCCTGATCACCATGCATTTCCAGAATTGGGTTTTGCAGCTGGTACTAGCATGTCTCCTATTGTACAGACTTTCACCCACGCATGCAAACGGAAATTGGCTCTGTTTTTGGCTAGCAAAACAGATCAGAAGGATGTTGGTTTTTGCGGAGTTTTATCGAAAAACTCTGCACAGTAGATGAAACGATGGAGGGCCTTCACGGACAGCAACATGGTAAAGGCCCAGAACAAGGAGCTGCTCTTTTGGATTACTGTCTTTTCAGTCTGGCTTTATATGTTGTCTCAAGTTTTCTACTTCGCCTTTTGGTTGTGTAAGTGTCTCTGCTGTTGCATGTTTTCTGGAATATCATTGGCAAGATTTTCATCAGCCCATGTTTTTGGCCTGGGTCTTTCAACTCCTACCGGAGATTTTCAAAGCTCTTGTTCTCCAATATGCATGGAGATCAAGCATTCTCATGGTTCGTACAACACTGTCAACTAGTTGGTGGGCCTTTCTTGGGGAAAGTTACTTATCAGTTAGCAACGGACCACCCTTCATCCTGCCATGCTCACGACTAGGGCTTTTGTTCAGCTTTGGTTTTTTTTTTTTTCATAACAAAGGAGGGAACTAGCCCAAAGTTAAAAATCAAAGAGGTTGGGAATTTAATCCCATAACATCATGCTGAATCATAGCCCGTAAGAAAAGAGGGGCAGAGTCAAAAATTCTAGAAACTGACAAACCATGTTTAGCTAACATATCTGCAGCACCATTGGCTTCTCTTGGAATGAAACTTAAATGAAAATCCTCCCGAGCTCTCAGAAAATCTCTAATTTTCATGTAGATAATGCTTCCCTTGACTTGGACATTGTCCTCCACATTGAAAGATTCCACCAGAGTCTTAGAATCAGACTCAAAGATAACCTTAGAGAAGCCCAAATTAGATGATAAAAGCAGCCCCTTAAGCAAGGCCTATTGCTCCACCTCCATAACCGAACAAGACCCAATGTGGTGGGAGAAACCTACAACTCTTTTCATCACGTAATAAACCTCCCAGGATGCTCTATCACCAAACCTCGACAGTGCCCCATCCACATTGAATTTAAACCATTGATTTGGAGGAGAGGTCCAAATACCCACATCACAATGTTCAGCCTAAAGAACAAAATGTTTCCAAATATAGCTTATGACAGTAGAAGGATTAAAAGGTTTACAAAAGATAGGTTTAAATATGAAGTCATTCCTCCAAATCCATAACTTCCAAATAGCAACACCCCATACTAGATCCCAATTAGTAGCCAGGACAAGACCCAATTGTCTTTTCTGATTCATATCACACCAATTCTCAAGAGACGCAGAAAAGAATTCTGAATGGTACATTGGATTTACAGGTTTGCGCCATAATTGATCTGCATAATGACAATCTCTAGGGATATGCAAGGTATTTTCCTCCTCATTTTTACTCCAGTCACAAAGTGAAGAAGTATTAACCCAATGATGCCTTCGGACATTAGTTGGCAACTTATTGAGGAAAGCTACTAAAAGAAATAAATGAATCCTCTCAGCCCCTCTCCACTTCCAAATCCTCTTATACAGAGGATTATAGAGATTTTCATTATATCCTTCAATTAAATCATACGCACTTTGAAGAGCAAAAGTACCTGTAGGACTAGCACCCCAAGACATTATATCATCACCTCGATGGTGTGCAGGCAGAAAGGATGCTATTAAGTGTTGAATAACAGAATTATCCACCAACTCTTCAAGTCTAGAGAAATCCCACATATCATAATTCACCCACTCAACCACTTTTCTAGCAGCCTCAGTGTTTGATAAGGGTCTAGTACAAAAATCTTAGATTTTTTTTCTTTTCCATCAACCAAATGTCATCAAAGAAATTAACAGAATGCCCATTCCTAACTTGCCATTTCATTCCTTTTTCCATAAATTCTTTTTGCTCACAGATGAAATGCCAAAGGAGAGAATCCCCTTTCTTAGCAATCAAAAGATCATGCTTATTAGTCAGCATGTATTTATGTTGCAAAACCTCAGACCAAAGACCCTTTGAACTAGAGAGAAGGTTCCATGCCAATTTAGTACCGCATGCCTTATTTAAGGAAATTAAATTCTATAAACCCAATCCACCCAGCTCTGGCTTCTTAACTGTCTTCCAGTTAATGAGATGATAAGTCTTATGCCTTTGATTACTACCCCATATAAATTTCCTCTGCAATTTCTCCACAGCATTACAGACCGAAACCGGTAAATTTGCCACTTGCATAAGATAAAGTGGAATAGTACTTAAAACTGATTTAATGAGAGTAATCCTTCCTGCAGTAGAAAGGCAATTTACCTTCCAATTGGCCAACTTAGTTTCCACTCTATCAACAACATATTTAAACCTTTCAGTATGTTTACCGAAGTTAGATATAGGAAATCCTAAATCATGCCCTATATACTCAGTGATTTTCGTACCTCCTGCTCTTTTTATTCTTCCCCTGTCTACAGTAGCCATGTTTCTTGAGAAGTAGATTGAAGATTTATCTTTGTTAATTCTCCTTCCAAAAGCATCACAGAAGGACTCTAAACATGACAACATAACCTGCATTTGGCTCACTGAAGCACCCCCAAATAGAAGAAGATCATCCGCAAACATGAGATGTGAAATCTCCGAGCCTTGTTCAGTTACTTTTATAGGTTTTCAACTCCCAGTATTCACAGCATCGGTAATGAGATGCGATAGTTTATCCATACACATCACAAATAAAAAAGGAGAGATTGGATCTCCTTGACGGAGTCCCGGTTTAAAAAACTTAGTTTGACAACCATTCTAGAGTATATAATAACTAACTGAAGTAACACAATTCATAATTAAGCTAATCAATTTATAGTCTATTCCTGTATCAAGTAGAACTCCATGAAGAAATTCCCAATTGATATGATCATATGCCTTTTCAAAGTCAATCTTCATTGCTACTAGACCACACTTCTTATGCAACCTCTTCATATTATGCATTATTTCTTACCCCACAATAATATTATCTTGAATATGCCTGCCACGTATAAAACTAACTTGGAAAGGTGAGATTAACTTGTCCATAATTGGTTTAAGACGCTGAGTAATGATCTTGGTGATAAATTTATAGTGAACTGAACACAAGGAGATCGATTAGTCAAAAGTTCCCTTCTGCTATTGGATGATCCCTCTTGGGGATTAGCAAGATTAAAGTCTGGTTTGCTTCTTCAAGAGAACTACCACCCTTAAAAATCTCCTTCACAAAATTACAAACTAAAGGACCTATAATACCCCAATTAGCCTGGAAAAATATTAGTAAATAACTATCGACCCTTAGAGCTTTATAAGGACCCATATCAAAAATAGCCCTGCGAATCTCTTCATCAGATGGCATGAATCCCAAATTTGAGAGCTGACTATCGTGTAAAACTGGGAAATTAGTCCTAGAATAAAGTTGGTTGATATGTACTTCTTCACATTCATATAGTTTCCTAAAGAACTGTGTAACTATAGCCTTAATATCTTCAACATTTTCAATGTAAATACCTTCATCATTCAACAATGCTTTGACTCTGTTCCTTCTCTTTCTCAAGTTAGATTTAAGATGATAGTAACGAGTGTTTCTATCCACCTTAAAGACCATTGTGATCGAGATTTTTGAAACCATTTGATTTCTTCACATTTCAATATACCTTCCAATTCATCCTGTAACTGGTGCTCCAAGATCCTTAAGAACTTTGATCTCGGATATGCAACTGAGGCTTGGATCCCATTCAATCTAGCCAGGACTATATTCTTTCTTTTTTCTACATAACCGAAAACTTCCCTATTCTAAATCAGCACATATTCCGTAAAAGAATTTAGGTTGTCTTCCAGTAACCCAAAATGCCTCCACTCTTCTTTAAGAAAATCCTTAGAACTTTCATGAGTAAGCCACATTGCCTCAAAACGGAAAGGTTTCACTCCCTTATATCCTCCCAATTCACTTAGAGTCAAAAGGAGAGGATTATGATTAGAAAACTTCATTTTAGGGAGAACTTTAACTAAACAATTTGGAAAATCAGTGAGAAAATGGGTATTACCTAACCCACAATCTAACCTTTCAAATAATTTGTTGTAACCACTGTTACGGGCCCCTTTCCAAGTAAATTTAAGTCCATAAGAGCCTAAATCAATTAAATCACAATCATTGATTCTTTCCCTAAACCAATCAAAACGTGCCTGATTACCTCTGGCTCCTCCCACTCTCTCAATTGTAGATAAAATATCGTTGAAATCTCTAAGGATGACCCACGAATCTGTGATCGAAGAAGCCAATCTCTGGAGTTGATTCTAAAGAACCTGTCTGTAGTTAGAATGAGGAATCGCATAAATAGCTGTAATCTACAAAGGTTTATTTTTCAAAGTCCAAACATCATAGATGAAAGAATTGTCAATTCTCTTCCAGCACATCAACATCTATTAAGAAACTCTTCCAAGCTGCCACAAGACCACTAGAACGTCCCGTACTTAGTACAACTCGAATTGAGTCAAAACCAAGAGAATGAAGGCATCTAAATCTTTGGATATCTTCACACCGAGTTTCAGTCAAGAAAATGATATTGTGTTTAGGACCATCCAACACCACTTTAAGGTTACTGAGAAGCCCACTACCACAAGCTCCTCTAGTATTCCAATAAAATATTTTATTCATAAACTGAGTAAATAAGAATAAAGAGCTCCTAATAAAAACAAACCTATTAGGCCTGCTGAGTCTTAGGGATGAAAGTGTCCTCAAATTCATCTCCTGACTTCCATGTCGCAAAGATTTGGACCATTGAAAGAAGGCCCAAAAGGTGAACCATCCGACTACTCATCCATCCAACAATCCCCTAGATCAATAGGCATGAGGAATGGGCTTGGCACACCAGCAACAGTAGGCCCAATATTTGTATCTTCACTCCTTTCCACTCCCATAACCTCATCCTCATCAGAGCCCATAGTCAACATCAAAATCTCATGGCTTCTAATGTGATTCACAAACATTTCTCTAGTTCTCTTTTCTGCTCTCTTAATGGTCACTTGTTTTGCTCCAATTACTTTTTCTAATTCCTCCACTACTGCTGTACTTATCATGTCCTCCCAGTCCAGTTCTTTATCTTTTCCTGCATCTCTCCTCTTTTTTTCTCTTTTCGTATGAATAAGGGCTGTCACATTGTTCACCTCAGCATCATTTGTCTCTGACGTAATAATCACTTTATTCAGACTTTGTCCCTCGTTATGACCTTCCTTCGCCCCCATATCAACAAGGATATCAAATCTTGCACTATTTCCCCCTTGATTTGAAGTTGTCCCCACCTTATCCTTTGCTTTTCTCTATCTACCCTGCTTTTGAACCACTTTTCAAGTCTCACCATCATTACCATTTTTTCAATCATTGCACATCATAAACACTTGGTTCAGGGCTATGAGCATGTCCCTCTACAACATTAGATTGTGG